AACTGTAAATAAGTTCCAGATAATCATCTAAAGTATGTGATTCAGACAGAAAAAAGAAATCAAAGGAAGTCTTAAAAACATCTTAGCTACAGTTTGATGCCATCTCTTACCTTCTCCTTTACAATGGCAGCCATATTTTTATGAGTGCATAAAAAGATAATGTCAAATGAAAATGGTTCCAGAAAAATACTAAAGAATTACAGCAATGCATGTCCAGTCAGATATTTCCAGTTTTCTTATTAAAAAAAGTTCCACAGGGCAAGATTTCTAAATGATTTGGGTTTATTTCCATTCTTCTAAGACTCTGAACGCAGGTTCATTTTGGCAATGTTTAAAATAACTTAGAAGTCCTCCCTCCTCCTTCCCCCATCACATTAAAAAAACCAAGCATTATTTAAAGGGCAAGAACACTATTAAGAAGAAATAAATTATTTTAATAGTAATGATATTTCAACTTTATGCATTTTGAAGCTCACTATGAAAACCAAATACTATGAAGAGTTTCTTTGAAATCCTTCAGATTCCTTTCTGTATGTATCCTTAAAAGAGTGCTCTCTCTAGGTGATGTTCCCATTCACTGTTCAATAGAAGATGACCTGAAAATACCTTGTGATGTTTCTTGTTGCCACAGAAAGGACTCCTATTCATACAAGGGCAATACTATGCAATATATATGTGAAAAAGAAATATAACAAAATAGAAAGAAACAAAGATGAAAGGGCAGAATCAGGATTAAAGTTGTCCTCAAAAGAGCATATGTACTTTACTATTAAATGAAACATAACAGGTCATAATAGAAAGATTTTACACTATTTTGATTTTCACTGGTTTCCAATCTTGTACTTTTCCTCAGTTTAATAACAGAGATTGCTCAGTGTCAGTATATTTACATTCAATGAACTACACTGTTTCTTATTCTAAATTTTTACTCTTTCTGCTTTAGTTTTCCTGACTCAAAAAAAAAAAAAGTTGGACTTACTGACTTTAAATAGAAAAAACAGGAATATATCTGAAGATTATGCTTTGTCAAAGCAAAGTTTTACCTACATTTTTAGTTTACTTTAATATAACAGGCTCTTTTGAATTTACATTATCCACAGCAATTGAAGAACAGATAGTCCTGACTGAACCTAACAGAAAAAAAAGAAATTAAAATAAATGCATGTCTTGCTTCAGGAATCACTTACCAAAATCTTTGTAAATTTTACTTGTTGAAAGTGATGAAACTAGAGATAACTGTATGATTCACAGAGTTGACTCCACCACTAAAACCAGCTACTATGTAAGTCAAAATTTGATTTTTGTATCCTCAAATCTAAGACAATGCATAATGATAAATGCATGAGTGATAACCTTAATACAAAAGGAAAACACCAGACACTTGCCTAGTACAGTTTTGTGCTTGTGACAAAAGCTTCTAACATTAGTCTATCATAGCCACATATATTCTATATATACTATATATTTATATATACTCACACACATATATATACACTACATATAACTCCAATTATTAACCTTCTTAAGCTTTACTTAGCAGTGTAAGCAGTACAGGTATATATATTATACCTATATAAGAGAAATTCTAAATATGTAATAATTCAAATATGATTATAGAGCATTATCTCAGTAGACACTGAGAACTGGTGCAGAATATGTCCTGCATCACCTGGGACTTTGTGTAAAACAGTATTTGCAGAATATTTTGAGATAAATCAGTCTGTAAATAGGAGCAATGCACCTCCTCTTCTTACATCACCACAGCCATACTGACACTTTTTCATTAAAAAAAAGGAACAGATATGGTCTTGCCAAATACATCAGGTCTTATTTTGCTAAACATTTATTTGTTGACTACACATGTCTTCTCTGAAGTAGCAGTATATTATCCTGAAACAAAAGACCTGTGCAGACTTCATGTCCACTGCTATATAACATATTATGTCTAGCTTATATACATTTCAATATATCCTAAGATTTTTTTGGAAAGGCAATTAAAGTAAATCTGAGTTTATAAAACCAATAGGTCCACCCAGGATAAAATGTAGACTTTCACTGATTTGAATGATGAGCTTTTCAGACTACACAGTCTGGCTAGATCATAGAGAAATGCAATAAATAAAATAAATTTGGGCCAGATCTTGTATACAATTGCTGACAATGGCATTAAGAAATAATTAAAATTAAATTCTTGTTACCTAAACTAATTTTTAAATTGATCTTAAGAGCACCATGGCATGTTCATGTGATTCCAGAATGCAAATTAAATTCTTAGTTAAGAAACTGGAACTTATGCATTTTATTTCCTCAGACCGTTGTCCATTTTGTTAACATATTGAATACCTACTGCAATGCTAGTGAAATAAATTTGATTGTAAGACCAAAATCACTCTAAGAGCAAAAATGGAATCCAAGTTATTACTTACTGAAATATCCAATTGGATATGATAGATAAATACGTCATAAAGTCATGAAATGTATCCAAAGCCCCAATCTGAAAACCTGAAATCAGAACTCATATGCTTCTTCTGCATTTATAAATATTGCTAGACTTCTGAATTTTTAAACCCTCCACCATGATACTGAAACAAATGTAGCTGATCTTGAAGCATCACCAGATAACTATGAAACTTCTGTTACTCTGTAGACAATCCTGAAACTCTTTGCTACGCAACTGTATTTTGCTTCCTTCTCTGTTTTCTCATTCATGAATCTTTGTTAGTTTACTTTTTTTGTCAGGATTATACCACATGCATAAACCAGTTGATACCACCACAGGTACCACTGTGATAATGCTAACACCTCTACAGAGATTCATAAGCCTACAATACCCAAGGTATTTACAAATGCTTTGGTGAAGGGAAAAGACAGAAGAATACATAGTTAAAAGCTTTAGTAAACCTATTTAAGCTAATAAAACTTCCTTAACTATGTTCATCAACAAAGCAATTTAAATATTTATGCTGCCTACTTTTGATATGTCCACCATAAATCTCTATTTTTATTCTTTCTCCCTGAAAAAAACTCATGAGTAAACTACCTTATCAGATCCACAGAAAGGAAATGAACAAATTAATTTCTTGAGAATACAATTTCTATGTCTCCTTTTCATAAGTTTTGATGTATGTGAATTTAAATTAATGGAGTATTTTCAGACTATATCAGGTACTCAGACAAGTGTGTATCAGTGGGGACAGTCAACCACATCCATGGATATTCATGGTTATTCACAGAATCTGATAAAATGCAACATCTAAAATTTGCATCATTCCAGCAAAAAATACATTCTTCCATTTGATCAAATTTGACTGAATATCCATTTTATTTAGCAATACCATAAGCGATACTTTGGTGTTAAAAAAAATAGTGAAGTGCTTTTTTTATCAATCAAATACATTCTGACTTCATTTACTTTATTCCTGCACCTGGGATTTGCCCAAAATGTCATTACTGGGTGCCTTAGTATTGTGTAAGTACTTCAATTTTTTATGTTTAAGTAAGAAAAGCCAACCAGCATTCTGTACCCTTAATTTAATTTCTTTGTCATTTTGATGGATGGCTTTCTCCTTCTGGCTTAACACCTTTTTTATGCTTTTAGCTGTGCTTTCTTTTTTCCCTCTGGGAAAGCAGCTTTTACAGTTTTCACATTCAAGTCATTTATCCATTAAACTATCTACATGTTTACATTCTATTATTTGCATCATAATCAAGGCTGTGCTTTCCATTGAGTATGTAAGAGCAATTGTTCAAGATATAAAAACAGATTTGGTCTTGCACCGTTTTTTTATATAGAAGACCCTTTTTAAACATTTAAATGTATCCCTTGTTGAACTACAGTACTCAAAACTCACATTAACAAATAAACATTCTATTATTTGTCTATCTTCTACAACTTTAAAATTAACTCATTTGGTATAACAAAGGTCATAATTTTCAAAATAAAAAGAAAAATCTAAGTTGACATGACTGTAAAACAAACCAATTAAATACATGTGGAGATTGTAAATCCATTATTCTTGCATACACTGTCACATGCACTGTCATGACATGCACATGTCAAAAAAGATAGAAATAAAACCAAAAAAAAAACCCAAGTGATGTATAATATCATTGCTCACCACCAAGCCATGTCCAGCCCCTTCTCCAGCTGCAACTGGCTCCTCCCAGGTAACTCTCCTGTGTTTGTACACTGGGAAAAATGTTCTAATATATGGAATATGCCTTTGCCAGTTCCCCTGGCCTAGCCATGCTCCTTTGCAGCTATTCGTGCACCTTCTCACTATTAGAGCATGGAAGACTGAAAAGTACTTGACTTAGGGGTGCAACAACTAAATCATATAGTGTTATCAACACTATAACAGTGTGTTATCAACATTACTATTATATTAAATCCAGAACACAGCATGTTAACTTTGTTATTGCCAAAACCAGGCAGTTTTGTTTGTGCAGCAATTCACAAAACAGTTTCAATAAGTCAGCTACTAGAAGCTGTAAATACACTTGCTAAAAGTTTACTCTTATCTGAAACTACATCAATCAGCACAAAGTGACAATGAACGAAATAATGAAAGAGAATACTTATTCTGTCCAGGTATACCAGCATGGAGTCCTGAATAAAGGCTGGAACAAGATTTCTGAAGAAAATCTAAAACTTTTTTCTTTCAAAACTGAGGGAACAGAATACAAGGAAAGATCGTACCATGACACAGCAAGCTATGTAAATAGCAGTATAGCTCAGCCTGTGTCAGACTCTTGAATAATCCCTTTTTGCCCAGGTCGTGCAATGTCCCAGATGGTACAGCTGGGAAATAATTTCTATATCCACTGTGCATGAATTAAACTCATGTGTTATTCAGCCACTGTATTGGTTTGAAACATGCCTGGTTGCATTTGCCTTTTTTGTCAGCAAGGAAAAGCAAAAAACCACAAATGAAACGTTATTCTCGGTTATCATTAGCCTACTGAAGTTTGAAATAACTAGTTGATATAATGAATGTGACACAAATTATAATTAATAGAATTCTGTGTAAAGTGCTTGAGCTGTTCTCGGCTTTGCAGCAAGTAGCATCGCAGCTTTTTTTCCTTACTTTCTCTTTCCTTTACCTCTTCACACAGCCACTGAAGCTTAGTCTACATTAAAAAAAAAAACACAAAAAACCCAATAAAATGTAGAGAATTCTAATAAAAATAAGAGGCCATAAATGTTCACTGACCAAATTATCTTTGGACTCACAGATTACTCATTTGTAGCTATCTGAATAACAATAATAGAGGGCATTCAGATATATTAAGAGAACATAAGTTGATTTTCAAGAGACCCAAAAGACATGTTTTGGTTGATAACTGTGTGTATAAAGTGAAAAGCATGAATTTGCTAGGGTAGATATGGAAATTCACATTGAATTAGTGCACACAGACAGCAAGAGATAGGCCTTCCTTTCAGAATACCTTTTCCTATCTATTTTAAGTTGACAAAATTTAAAGTATTTGTCCTTTCTAAAAAAAGTTACATCAATCCTTTCTAATTAGCAGAAGTCAATATTTAAGATTGACTCAGAGGAGAAAAAGATCTCATTGATAAGGTTGTGATCAACATAGTGAATCTAGAAGTGATCAATTGGAATACTTTCACACAACCTATTTAAAACCAAAAGAAAATAAAAGCGGCATTTTAAGCAGTCATTCAATCTAATCGTCCCACTAGCAGCTAAACAAACTTAGGTGAAAAATGTATGCAAAGCATTATTAGGTGCTCTTTGAAAGTTATTTTCAATAATATGTCAGTGTCACTTTTTTAAATGAAGAAAATACTTCCTCCATAACATTTCTCCTTTGATTCCAATCTTATCTTCATTATCTATAGTGGAAGTCTTTCTTGGTCTACAAGTCTTACACAGACCACACACCATGAATAACCATCTCTTTCATGCAAACATTTGCAATTTTTTTTCCTTAAGTCAATTCTCCTGTGGCTTTGACCTTTCTACATGAAGCAAAAATACCAGTTGTCTTCCACAGTTTGTGATCTATTTTTATCATGAGAAATTTACTTCTTTTAAAAGATTCTGGGTAAGAAGTGTACTATGTTCATGAGCTGAGGGAGCTGCAGTAAAGCTGCAAAATGAAAGGCAAGATTTATGAGTTACAGTCATCACCTTGAAGATGTTTTCAAGCATGTGTGTGTCCTCATTATAGGATTTGAAAGCTTCAATGAGGACAGAAAAATCATGCATTTTCAAGAATCCAATCTAATACATTTTAGATTGAAAAAATACCAGTCTTATTTAAAATAATTTCTAGCCTTGTGATAATGCTAGAAAGTTAAGAAAAACTTAACCTGCTGACTACATTCTCATGCTTTACTTGTCTAAAAAAATTTGAACCAGATCTATAGGCTATCACCGCTCTTATTTCAATGCCTTTTCTGTGAAAACAACATTGCTAATTATTTTGATATAGAGATGGCTATTTCTTGTTGATAGAAACATTCAGAAAATTATTCTATCAGTTGAAATAATAGTCTGGAAGTGCCAGAATAATTGCTAAAGGAATGTTTTTTTATTTTTTCTTTTATTCTTGAAGTGCCATTTTAAATGGACTTTCAAATAAACCAGACCCATCCATTCACAGACTCACCCCTGCACTCAACTGTTAGGGCTAAAAAGGACCTTATGGATCATCTAGTTCCAACCCCCTGCAATGTGCAGAGACACCTCCCACTACACCATTAAATGCTGAATATTAGCTTACTCAGTAAAATTTCAGGAGGCTTGACTATTACCTTTGCTTCTGCTAACCAGCGATGAGGATCATTCAGTACTGTTGGTGTAAGGGATATTGCCTATGAAAAAGCAGGCGACAAACAGACATAAAATGAGAATTAAGACACAGAAGGAAGAAAGTCTTTTCTGCTTACAGGAAATTCATCAAAGAAATGCATTTTTTATCAAGGAAGATTAAGCCTAGTGCTTGACTTCTCTCAATACAAATATTAATCCATCAAATTCCTCCTGCTTACCCAAGTTGCAACAGCAATTTCTTGAAGTAAAGGGCAAAACTTTTTAGAAACCTTGGCAATACCTGAGGTTCTGGGCACAGGAACAACATTATAAAAGAAATTTCTTACCTTTAAAAAATATTTATACCAGGACCACAAAATTAACTTTTTTTTCACATTAGCTGTCTAGTCAAAAATTCGCATTCATCACTGGTTTAAGTTTACCAGTGATAAAAAATTAAGAACTGTATAAACAGGGATCTGCAAAACTTTATCCAGAAACCAAAAACTCTGCACAAGGTGAGGAGCAACTCCAAGAAGACATGGCTCAATGATCAAAAGTCTGGCAACAACAGCGGATTGCAAATCTTAATACAAAAAAAGACCTATCTGTAAGGAGACAGAGGAGAAAGCTTGTTTGTCAAATACATTTTCCTAGAATTCTCATCTAGTTTTGTGCTGCAACACCCCAATTCCATCTATAATGGAGAAATGGTGTCAATCGTGAAAAAAATTGATTTTGAAAGCAGCCTAGTCCAATCCAATGACCAGGAACTACAAATGATTCTCTGTTTAAACAGCAAGACAAAAAAAGTAATCTGAGTGTACTCCGGGTTGCAGCTAAGGCTAAAAAGCCACTAGATCAAGCACTTTTAAGTGTAGCAATAAGCTGAGTCAGTCTGTTCTCTTTATTCTCAGAAATGTACAATGTTGACTGAAGAGGATTAGTAACATAGACTCATATGGAGGGAGGAAGAGTTGTTTCTCTTCCTGAGGAGCAAATGAGAATGCTCAGAAGCTACAGAGAGACAGGGGTTGCAGGACAAGTAGTAAAATAGCAAAAAAAAACCAAACTGTGACAACAAGAAGCTGCCAGTTTCCTGAAAATTTAAGTCTGAACTTTCTGGATACAAGGACCTGCTCCTCAAAAGTGAAGGTTATAAACTCTTTTCATATTCAGAACTCAGTTCTGTACATAAAAAAAAAACAAAGCATCCAAACGATTTTTTAACAGAAAAAAAATCTTTCATTTTTTCCCAATTTTAAAAAAGCATTGAAAGCATTTAAGGTATTTCTTAAGGACTTCCCAATTCTAGGAACCTGGCCTAAGAAAACCTACCTCATAATTTTGGCTAATAAAAGGTCCTTTCACACAAGCAAAAGGAGAAGTATTAAAAAAAAAAAAAAAAAAAAAAAAAAGCAAACAGTACCAATTAATGCATGGACAGTTTTTCACAGCATTCCATTGTAACACCAAGCAACATCCCTCTGTACCAGCTAAATATCCATATCTATGCAACAGTGACAACAATGCACAACAAGTTCCACCTCAAACTTCCATTAAGAAGGGAACAAAACTTGCAGCATACGTAAAACTTAGAATTACTTTGAATTTCTCCATGGACTCCCGAGAAAAGATCTCACAAGCAGCATCAATTTCACTTCCTATCATGGAGAGAATGGATTGCTGTTCCATTTCTAAGTGACGCAGCTGATCTTTAAACTGCAGTCTGGCCTCACTCATCTTTCTCAAATGATCTTCATTGCTGATCTGCTTTTCCTGGAGTGAAAAAGGAGAAAACAAAACAAAGATAAATAACTGCATTAATAATATATGTCATTAGCCATGTATCTTTCAATCTTATAACCAGACCCATACTCAGTCATGCTAAATTCAACTCCCTGCCTAGAAAAATAGTATTTTCTAATAGCACTTGTAACTTCCACCCTTGATTCTCCTTATTATCCTGTAAATCAGTTATGAAGAAACTGCCACCAAATCTAAACTCAACAATCATAAAGCATATTTCCAAAGTGAAAAACAGATGTTCTATTACAAATCTCCTCATGAGTAGAAAAAGAGTCCAGAGCAGATACTCCCATTAGTATCTTTTGCCCTGAATTTATTCTAGGCATCTAATCTCTATTGTCAGAAAAGAGATCCCAGAAGAAAAATTTTATTTGCAGTCAGTATGCCCTCAAAGGAAAACTACTCAAAGAATATCTCATAGGAGAGTGAGTGGCACTGAGGAAAGTATTTTCTTATCACCTAATGTCAGAAAGTTGATTAAATATGTTACATATGTTTTTAAAAATCAGATTCACTTCTTTTATATCTTTGATAGAGCTACCATAAAACCAAACAAAACTGCTGCTAGATTACTCAAAATATTGAATTACACATCATAAATAATACAGAAAAAAATTATCTTGTGAGAATAAGTGAAATTGAAACACACCTGTCTGCTGCTAAGATCAGGATGGTGTAATGCAGCAAAGGGCAAACATTTTAACAGGCAAATTCTAATGTGTGCAAATACCACCAAGAATGATAAGAAGAGCAAGGATTTCAGAAATTTATTAATTGTGGACCTCTACAATGACAAGGTACAACTGTTTGAAGTCTATTTGTTGGAAATCTTCAAACGCTGCTCTTATAAGACACCAATGTGGAGTTGGGTAATGTCTAACGCCCAAATTCAATGAATGAGATATATATGGAATCATAGAATCATTTATGTTGGAAAAGAACTCAGTTATCATAAAGTCCAACTAAAAACCCCATACTGCCAAGTCCATCACTAAACCATATCCCTGAACACCACATGTATGTGTCTTTTGAACACCTCCAGGGGTGGTGACTCTACTTCCCTAGGCAGCTTGTTCCAATGCATGAATAATTTTTTCTTAATATCCAATCTAAATCTCCCCTGACACAGTTTAAGGCTATCTGCTCTTGTCCTATCACTAATTAGGAGACACTAATTGCTAATTAGGAGACAAAACCAACATCCACCTTGCTACCTCCTTTCAGGAGGTTGTATATATATATATACACATACATATATAGGTGTTACTTCTACTAGAAAAATAGGTGGTTTTAATATAGGTGGCCTACAAATGTGAAACAACCATACTTGATAAACAGCCTGATTTTTTCACTTAATTAATACAAAAACACTTGAGACAGTAGTTATTTGAAACTGAAGAAATCATAAGATTTTTCAAGATGGACAGGTTCCAGTATTTCTATACTATAAAGATGGGAGTTGAAATAACAGTTTTGACCTAGATCAGTATTCTGAAAGTAATAAAATTGTACTGTATATTTTTCCAGTATAAGTATTTTGTTACCTAACTATTCACTGAATGTAGTCCATCACATGTCAAAGTTCATTTCCAAAGACCATGACTTTGTATATAAAAGAATACATAACCTTATTTTTTTATTTCTTATCTACTTGATTTTCTGAATGTGCCAACATTCCTTATCATTCTACATCATCCAGAGCCTATAGGAGAAAAGAAGTCACTAATGACTCAGAAGTGCATAGAAGGAAAAGGAAAGAAACCAAACATTTCCCACTATGCTCTGTTCCTTCACCTTTTATGAAAAAAAAATAAATCTAAGCTAGCTGTAACACCTATGTCTCTTTGAATTAGTATTTGCATTAAGAACAGAATATTAAAAGCATAAAAAGCATGGAGAAGAAAGTACTCTGTAACACATTAGCTTCTACTGCATTGCCTCAATTGTATGCTAGTATGAGATTTCTCAAGAGGTAGTATTATTTTCCCCATCCTAACATCCCTTTTGACAATCCACGAAACCAAAATAGCAAATATTCTCTTAAGTTAACCATTAATACAATTTAGTAGAAGTCTCCATCTGCCTTTACCTTCAAAAGTTAAGGCCACAGGATTGCATGCTTAAAAACTTCTCATCTTTTTCAATTTAGAGATAAGAGATGATTTTGGTATAAAAGTTGTCTTCCCAATATTAGGTGAGGTTGGAGCTAATTCATAACAGACTACAGAAGCCCATATACATTCCTATAAACACATTTTCTAAATAACAGATATTATAGAACTAAAATGCCAACATAGAAAAAAACACATCTTTGGGTTTTCATTTCAGATACTTTTTACTAGTCTGACAAGCTGAGCTTTTAAACCACTTCCTGATAGTTTAGCAAGCTAAAGAAACGCCAAGTTTAACATTTTTCTATCTCTATACTATAAAACTATACTATACTATAAAGGAAAACCCCAAAAACCCAAAAATCCTCCACCCCAACATTAGTCAGAATTTTTTTTACTATGTTTACATTGCATATCTACTTCAAATTATCTCTAAATTATTCATAGCTCCACTGCATCTTGAAAAAAAAATTAATAAAAGTAGAAGTGGTTGATTAAACATGTGTTAGTTACCTATATTAGAGATCAGGCAAGCAACAGTATTTATACTTCTAGTCCTAAATAATATTAGCAAATCTTTGAAGGGATACAGTTCATAATCCAACCAAACTATTTTTGTCTTCTTTCATTCATATAGAAACCATGTACTATGGCACAACAGGGTACATTCTTTAATACATACATGCTGGGGTTTTTTAGGTTTACCATCTATTTCTATAATCCATAATTTATTTTAGGTATTTATCACCAGAGAAACAAATCATGGTTAAAATCAGTTAATTGTACCTTTTTCTCCAGTTCTTGTTTTAGAAACTCACATTTCCGTTTCAGTTTTATATTTTCTTCCTCATTTTGGGTTAATTCTTCTGTCAATTTATCATACTCAACTTTGATTTTTTCCAGTTGTCGACACTGATTCTTGATTATGTTTTTCTCTTCTAAAAGCTCCATCTGATGGTAAAGGGTAAACAGATCACAAAGTCACTGTATGAGTTATTTCAAAACACACCCAAACTCTAAAGTTTTAAATCAGTGGAACACTACCGCCAAATGATAAATGTAAAAAATTAAGTTCTACTAGGTGCAATTACTTATCTGAACATGTAAAACATGCATCACAGATCTGTGGAACCATACAGTGTTTTAAAAGTAGAAAATAGAAGTCTCAGATTCTTTATTTCAGCTCTGCTACACTCATCAGCTTACATCATCCTGAGAAGCCTAGTATTTATGCAGCTTTTCCATTACTAAAATAATTTGGAATCAGAAAGTCTAAAACTATAATTTAATTTCAGGAAGCAATACTGAATTTATAGCTGCAAGGAAACAACAGCAAAGATTTAGTATTTTTAAGTTCTAGAATTGTGTAGGTTTAGTGCTATTATTTTGTGTGATTAATGCTACTCATGAAACTTTGCAGAGAAAAATGAAGAAAGCATAAGGATCTAGAAAGCCCCAAGGGAATGAGTAAATAACATATATTTTTTCCCAGTGAAAAAAATAACTGACTGAAAATGAAAGGTTTGAGAAATGCTCTACAAATATCTAGAAAATTCTAAAAATACAATGCAGGAAATTAACACACACATTACTCAAAGCCAGTTTCATGTTAGTTGAAGTGTGGGATGCAGTTAAAAAAATAAACTTGCAAAGCAAATTTCTGAGGAAAAGCAAAAATTCTATTTCTCAAATACACTATAACTTCTATGACAAAGAAGGATAAGGAGAGAAGTTTTATGAATTCATTTAGACACTAAATCTAGATACTAATTTAGACACTAAATAGATTACAAAATCTTCCAACAAAAGACAATTTGGGAAAGAACTTTAGCAACCACAGTCCACAAAGACTTAAGACCACAAAGACAAGCTTGCAATGCTCAAAACATTTTCTGTGAATATGCTTATACAACTCAACTTTTCAGTTCCTACTAAAGGTAATTGCATTATAATATCTATGCAGACGGAGACAATCCAAGAAAAAAATCCCTCACCTACATTACCCTTGAGACACTGAAGTCAAAGTTAATACTTATTAATTTCCAGTACAGACAAGGTACATATGACTACAATTTAATTGATCTTTATTGAACCCAATTTCAGCATTTAATAATCTTCAGGAAAAAATGGATGGCACAATTGGAAAATGTACGGAAAGCAATTTAAAAATAAATATACACAATTTTATATGTATATATACATATCTCTACAAAACCTTAGATTAAAATTAACACTTCAAATACTTCCATACTGTCAGGCATTAGGAAATTTTGTATGTTATTCTAAGAAAACAAGCATGTTTTTAAAGCAAATGAGACTATGTATTAAAATTAAGGGACAGATACAGAGCTCCTGAGCACATGGCTAAATGGGGACCACTATGCAAACCACTTGAATTCCTATGCCTAACATGTCTATCCTTTTAAATACCAAATAAGACACCATAGAGGCATTGGTTGGGAATCATTTAGGATGTTCTAGCAAGAACCAAATTAAAAGTTTAAGCATCAGAATCTCAGTAATGAAACAGTAAGATCCTTCTTAACACTAATATCTCAAAAAACTTTATGTTCTTCTCTAGTTCTATTGCATCATGCAATATTTTTATGGTACCTTCCCTACTACCCAAAAAAATCCTTAACTACTTAATAGTTTTTTCAATCCAGTGCTGCACTACAGAAAACCAGGCAAAAGTGAGGCAGAAAGTACCATACAGAGGAGGCAAGAGAGGAAAGAACAAAAAAAATTGAAAGCCACTTTATTTTACAATCTATGCAGAAGTTAATCCTCTAAATACAGGACTCTGTACCCTTGATTTCCTGGAAGTAACTCATAAATGCATCCACTTTTAAGTTTAAGGCTTTGGATCCTACAAATGTATTAAATTTTCCTTCACTCCTCAAGTCTCTCTCAACTGACCTTTATTTTTAAAGCTTGAACTATCTTTGGACAGGATATGTATATTCCTTTCCAAAAACAGTTACAAAGGTTGGACACAGCTGAGGCATAAATAAGGTAAATTATTACTGTAACAGTAAAAGATAGCTGGCTGCTAGACACAAAATCTTACCAATCTGAAAAAAAACCACTAGTAGGTTAAAAAAACCACAACTTTTTCTGTTGAATTTCCCTAAGCACTACTCTAACAACAAAATACTTAAAAAAAAGAAAAAAAGATAAAATGTATGTTAAGTTTACCTTAATTTGGAAGAAAAGTATGTCCATAAAATTGAAATCCAAATGCAATGTAATGATGAGTTCAGACAAAAAGTAACCAAATCACCTACAGGATGACACGCTTTCATCAGATCTTCCTAGAGATGCATATGACTTTCTATTTTGTTTTATTTACAGTCCCTCAATCAAGAGAATCTTGTGCATTATCATTTTTTATACTTCTAAAAAAATTGCCTACCCTAATATCTTAGAAACTTTATGTCTCCCTTAAATCTTCTGCTCTTAAACAATATATGTAGATTCAGGATTCTGGGGAAGTCATGGAACTTTAAATGAAATATGGAAGTGATTTTTTTTAATACTCTGTTTAGGTTTAACAATCAGTAAAAATAAAAAGGTCCTAACTCCAGGATTTGCCATTTCATAGAAAAACACAATCACAATCAACTTATTTTTTCTTACTAGCATCCAGAATACAATTTCCTTCTGTCCACTTGGTATCAAATATACACTCTTAATTTCAATGTCATTGCCAAAGTAAAAACCACTTTTGGACAGCCCACTTAAATAACACTATACACACTAAAAATTAAGTCTCCAATGTTAAGCACTGCTGTCAAAATGTTTCATTTTAATGATCCTCCTACTAACAACCACCTAGGGTTTTCTTATTGCTATCTTCACTTAAAGGTTTCTATGTTACCAATTGCTAAAGTATTATCGAGTCATGAATGATACATTAAATAACTAAACATTAGTCCCAACAGAGATGACACCACTTATCATTGCTGTACATTGGGACTTCATCTGGACGCTGAGCCATTGATTATAACCCTCTGAATGGGACCATTCAGCCAATTAATCACCTATCAAACAGTCCACCCATAAAATCCACCTCTCTCCAATTTAGAGAGAAGGATGTTGTGGAGCACTGTGTCAAATACTTTACAAAAGTACAGATAAATGACATGTGAAGCCCTTCCCTCATCCCCTGATGCAAGCACTCCAGCAGCAGAAGGCCACTGGGTTGGTCAGACAGGATTTGCCCTTGGTGAAGCTGTGCTGGCTGTCCCTGTCCTCCATGTGGCTCAGTGTAGCTTCTAAAAGGTTTTGCTCCATGATCTTCCCAGGAGCAGAGATGAGGCTGACAGGTCAATAGTTCCCACAGCTCTCCCTTCTACACTTTAAAAAGATGGTGTCCTGGGGTGACTGTAGGGTACAATGCTTTCCCCTTTCCAGTCACCTGCATGCCATATTAAAACGTGACAGCATTGTATATTTCCTTTTATCTTAATCATAGACATATCTGTTTTACTTTTTTTGAACAAAGGTTTTGACCCAAATATGTACTGTTAAACTTTTACCCCAAACTTTAAACTTTTACAATGGCCTGCAATAAGATGTGTGTTAAGTGCTTTAAAGCCCATGCTTTACTACCTTCATCATTCAATGGCAGGAGCTGTGTGTGGGATGTGTGGGAGGGGAAGTCTGACATTGGAATTCTCCACAGTAAGTACCTTTAGCATTCTTATCTGAGCCTCTGCATCATCTTTTTCTTGTTTAAGGAGTTTCCTGAGCTCTTGAACATTTTGTTCATGTTTGATTTTCACATTTTGTAGCTCTGATCTAAGATCTGCCAACTCCTGTTGGTGAAATTCTCTTTCCATCTTCAGCTGCCTGTTAGCTGAAATCATGTCTTCATGATTAGATTCCTGCTGTTTCTGGAGGTCTGAGAGGCTCTTAAGTAATTCCTTTTTGGCTTTCTCCTCTTCTGCTATTCTGTTTGTTAGTTCCACGCGTACAGTGCTTAAATTTTTTACATCTGCTTGCATTTCTAGGAGTTGTTCTTGGTCTTTTTTATGAAACAAGTTAATAGTTGCAAGCTCTGTCTTCAAGTGTTCCTTCTCAGCTTGCATTTGATTTTGTAGAAAGACTTGTTTTTTCAACTCATTCTCCAGTTTTTTTACAGTACCTTGAACTTCTTTGATCTCTTCTTCAAGAGATACCTGGTGTGACTGCATTTCATTCAGTTTTACCTCTTTACAGTGGAGGAGTTCTTCCTGCTGGGCTCTCTTTGTAAGCACATCATCCAGCTCTTTCCGCAGGTTTTCTATCTGGTTTATAGCTGAGAGAAGCTGACTTTTGAGATCATCTTTGTCTTTGAGGGCCTAGAAAAGAAAAAAAAAATCCATTCTGATCAGAAGTAATTAAAGACAATTGTTGGAAGGATGTCCTTAGACATCAGGAATGTCTATGGAACAATTAGCATATGTATGTGAAAATACAAAATTTTTGCTTGGTATGAACTCAGTTCAAATGTACTGAGCATTTCTTTAAATTTGCACACAGATCATGTGCAATCTCAAACTTGGACTTGTCCTTAAATTATCTAGCCTTCTAAGAAGGGACAGTTTTGGTTAATTCTCTGCTTCTCACACTCTCTCTTTGCAGACTGAGAGGTGTTTCTTTATTCCTCCAAATAGCAAGATGGAGAAAATTATGTAATAGAGTAATGCAGCAGCATACAGAAATGACTACTGGATATATACACTGTACCTACAGCCCATTCCATATGGTGAGTTATTTTGTTAATTTTCAAAAATATTACATATGAAGTATACCAACTTTAACTTATTTTTTGAAATTATGCACAGTAGATGAATTAGTAGCAGTTAAAAGCATGGTCCACTTATGCATCAAAGTGAAGAAATAACATCATCTCCAAAATAAAAATCAATCAAATGCAATAAAAATTCCACTGTTTTCCTAGGATCATAAGGATTTGGGTGTTTTTTCTAACACTGATATATTTCATGTTAAAATTACCACAGAATTACAGAATGTGTAAGCTTGAAAGGACCACAGTGGGTCATCTGGTCTAACCTCCCTGCTCAAGCAGACTTATCCTAGAACACAGGCACAGGATTGCATCCAGATGGTTCTTGAATATCTCCAGTGAGGGAGGCTATGCAACCTGTTTGGGCAATCTGTTTCAATATATCAGGTTCTTTAAACTGACTTAATAAATTTTATACTAAATTTTACTAAGCATTTTTCACCAATTTCACAAGCAACACAGATTTCTTAGGATATAGCAAAATTACTTGAAATAATTCAGAACAAAAAGGCAATTAGGGTTAAGAGTGTGCAGTTAAAAATAACAAAACAATCTGCAATTATCAAGAATAAGCAATGCAAAGCAAAATACAAATATAATAAATTGAGGACATGGATTGATGACCATCATGGGTTTTTTCAAAAAAACAAACAAACTACCAAACAAAAAGACCCTCCTAAACCTATTTTGTCATTCTACTTGAATGATTTTGTGAAAAAAAACCAAACCATCACCAAAAACAAAACAAAAACAAAACTCTAGTAAAATTTCAAGCTGCAACCCATAAGTTACTTGCTTTGAGTATGTTTTCTATATTACATAGCTAAAAGAACATACATGTCAAAAGATGTTAGAAACTCCACTGTCAAACAATATTACAGACAACCACATGGGCAAAACTTCAACCAAACTATCCCAGTAACTCCAAAAGAATGAAACCTAAACAATCTTTCTATAGCCCCTCCATTGTCTGCCAGTATTTCAAAAATCTCAAAATTGCAAGCTATGATTGAAACCCAGTTTTCAAAATTTTCCATCAATCCTTTGAGGTCTTCTAACAGAAATCAAAGACAGCAAACTGCCATTTCTTCCTTTTCCTTATTGGTTTTATAGAATTTTGTCTCAGATGTTAACTGTCTATATTTCATAGCTAGTTAAATTATGTTCTCCTAGTTATCTCAAGTTCATACTAAATGCTGCATCTAGATTGATTATAACTCTATAAGTAAACTGTTTCCAGATTTATATTGAGAACATGAAACATTGTTTGTACTTTTTTCTCCTTCACAATGACATACAGTTTATTTGATGTTTCATATCTTAAAATAAAGAAACTTTCTTCACCAGTGACAGCTACCTCAAACTTGTTAGCAGGATGGTCACAACCTTTAAAGTAAGAACAAACACTGACAATATTTCTTAAATAGTGAGAGTTCAAGCACTGCTTTTAACATGTGAATATATTTGCCACATAAAAAGTGGTAAAATCCATGTCAAAGATTCTTAATTAACAAAGAAAATTTCAATGTGTACAGTGTTATCAAGTGCCTCTACAAAGACCAGGTGGAAAGCAGTGTAAGTCACAGTTTGCATAAATAAACTCCTTCTCTTCATCTTTAAAACAAAGGGGAAGGGTACAAAAAAAAATAAAAATCAACCAATCTTACCTGACTATTCTTGTCCATCAGCTCACTGATAGTTTGATTTTGTTTTTCTATCTCACGATCCAGTTTCTTACACTTCAATTTCCATTGGCGGATGGTTTCCTGGGCTCTCACTTTCAAATCTTCTCTTTTTTTCTCAATCTCCAGCCTGAGTGCCTCTGAATGCTTGAATTCAGTGAGATACCGTTCTGCTTCCTTGGTACTCTCTTCAACCTGTTGAGCTAACTCAGCAGACTGGAGTTCAGTTTGTCTACGTCCGTTCTCACAAGCCTTGTAGCAATTCTGTATCTCCTTTAGCTGGTCCAGCATTTTTTCCTGCTGCTTCTCCCTGTTTTCCAGGTCAGATGTTAACCCCTGGAATCATCATAGCAAAATACAAACATTCTCTAAAGATATGCAGTTTGAAACTTTATCAAACAACATAGTGACATTAAATCACATTTTTATTTAAAATATGAACAGCATAAAAGATCTGCTTGAATATCAAGGAAAGCCCTGTTAGCCCAGAGAATCTCTCTCTCTCTGCAATGGTAAAGAACTTCAACACAATACATAAAATGCATACTACTCAATGCTTTCTGCATTTTTTCCTCTTCTAGTGGTTCTTGTTATTTTTCTGCATTGTACATTTGAGATCAGTCATTGGCCATATATTATACACTATACAAATAAGAAATAAATTAAACAGTAAGATATAAGGAGATTAATGTAAACAGATGAGAGGAAAATGAGATTTGGAAAGGAAAAACCAGCATTCACCACAACCACAGTAATTTGTAGTATATGAGCTAGTTGTTACCCAGTTTTTTGTTGGTTGCCTTTATGAGAGCAATGTGCTAAATAAAGGTATATTTGATAACTATAGTATTTATTTATAAATAAAAAGAGAATACAGTAGCTTGGCAAATGTTTCTGAAACAAAGTGCAAAGATGTTTGAAAATGTAGCAAGCATATATAAGCCTTTCAAAATTGAATTAAATTGAAAACACACCTTTTAAAAATAAAAAGGTATTGCATTTCTCAAATCATATTCCTCTGAACATAAGAACATTCTCTCATAAGAAACTCAGGAAAAATAGCATCCATATACTTTCTGGAAGGATGTGCTCAGAAATCAGTTTTTGAAGATACAGTAGCAAAATTATATTTTATCAAGATCATCAAGCAGAAATTCACATTAGTATTCTGCATTTTGGGCCTATTTAGACTGCTTTCATACTATTCAGTCTTTTCATTAATGAAAGATGAATTTGAATAGACCTGACCTATAGCCAAACACACTATCAAGCCTCGGGGGATTGAAATACTTTGGAGACGAGGATTAAATTTCAGAATGACTGGAAAAAACTGTGGATGTAGCCTGAAATAAACAGACTGCAATTCAGGATGGACAAGGGAAACTGTAAATAATTGAAAGTATTTTATCTATCAAAGAACAGGCAACTTTACAGGTGGATATAGAATGACTAGACAAAGATACTTCCAAAAGGTTGGGGGAAGGAAGGAGACTTGGGTTTGTTGGTAAAGGCTCTCTCCTTGTCAGTTTGTTTTTCTTTTGCCCTTCCAAATCAGGCAAACACCATCTGGAAGGAAGTAAATTGTACCATCTCTTCAGGATAGTATTTGCTGTGCTAAAGAGATAATGAAAACAAACTCACAAGTTACAACTAGTAAAATTTTAATCAAAACAAGCTTAATTTCCAATGAAAACAGATTATAATACTTCTTTAAAGACTAAGATTTGAGTATAGCAGAAGTTAAAAATAGCCTCATAAGATACAATCAGATATTACATTTACTGTTCCACAGGTTTTCTAAAATAGGTCATGATTTTTTCAGTCATGTGATTACACATGCAATTATCACTTCCCATTTCATGTCCTTCTGGAGACACCATAGAGGATGTCAGACTAAATTGATATAGTACTCAATGATGCATCATTAAAAAATAGTTATTTATATTTAATTTCCCCAGAGTACACACTTCACTAACAAAACTACAGCGCCCATAAACTTTTAAATGAAATATGAGTCTAGCTTAAACTCAGAAAATAATGTTCAATTAACTGTAAACATTACTCTTATTGTGTAAAAGTAAATCAACTCCAACTTATAGATTTGTAGTATAATAAAAAAGAGGAACATTTGTTTTAGATACTTACTTTGAAGCGCAACTAATTTATCAACATGAACTATTTGCATGAGGAGGAAAATTGGATTTTGACATGGATGTACCAATATAAATGTGACTTTTAATGTTATTTTTACAATATATGTAAATAAGGTAAATATTAGAAAAGAGTTGTCACTTTGCTTAAAAGAGTTAAGCCAGCACAGACCCAACATTTGAAGTCAGGTGGAAAACAGCATCATAGCAAGTCAACATTTCATGCAGCCAACCCTGTAAAGCAAGAGGATACAGGAAGTATCTCCACACTGTGTCTATATCGAAACAGGAGTCCCAAGTGTACTGATCGGTATTTCTGAATTCCTAGTTGATGTATGATAAATGTGTATCTCTATGTTAACATGGGTGCAGCTGCCAAAATTCTGTCTGATCTATAAGGGCTTGCGCTACTGGCATTAAATTGGCTAATAGTTAATTCTTCTTCTACAAATGAAAAAGTAAATTTTATTCAGAATATGTATCAATATTTATAAGACTGACAGACCTATGTCACTGAAGAATTCTAAAAACATGATTCTCAATAAACATATCAACAATTTTTCCTCAGAAAAACTGAAATATTTTCATAAACTATTGTACTGGACATTACTATAAGAATACTAATACCAAATTCACATGAGGAGTAGTTAGTAAATCAAACAAGTTCCCAGGCACAAAAGTTTAAAAGCACTTATGGAGAAAGTAAGGTACTGCATCTTTATAATTAGTGCACTTTGTTTATTTCTTAAATAGTTAAATCTCAGTAACAGACCCATATCTATACGGCTTCATGCAGAAAAATATATTTAAGATAGTTATATAAATTTGGAAGATCTCACAGCTGCACCCTTAGGTAAACTACAGCAGCTGAAATAAATATTAAATTTAAAAGTTATTTTAAGATTGAACTCACTTCTAAACATGAGCTTAAGAATACATTTTAACCTTTTTCATTCTCTCCATTTTACATCACACTAATTTTATGGCAACTGTTGGAGGCTAAATGTTCAACACACACAACTCAAATTGTTGCAAACAATGACATTTGAATAAATCAAAAGAAATTTCTAGTATTACATGTACATCAGAGGAAAGTTAGATCCTCCCCACTAAACAAAGATAAATTACACCCAAGTCAAACATGACTGGTCACTTCCAACTGGGAATCAGACTATCTGACAGGAGCAGCTGTTAGAATAGGCTTGACAAAATGCTTTGTTAGTACACAAGTTTAGAAATTCACATCCTTGCACTCCTTGATGTCTCATTAAAAGAAAAACACACTAGCTACTTTCCTGTCACTGCCCCTGTAGGAGAAAGGCAGTGGGAAGCAGATAAGAAGTACAAAGTATTTGCTGTTGAGAAAATGAGGGAAGTCAAAATTTCTAAATCAGAGAAATGACAATGACCCCAACTGAGCATTCTTGCATGAGTATTTTCAGGGCAGGAAATTAGCATTATAAAATCATTCTGACCCTTAAGAAAGCATGTTCTACAAGCAAAAGTTTAAAAAATTATTTTTCTGTGGGTTTTTACCACATTAATTCCTGTCACCAAAATAATTAGTTTCTCAGGCACAACAGAATGTTTTCAGTTAGTCATGGGTTTTATAGACCAGCTAGAATACAAATGCTGATGGACACCAGGAAATGAGTTCTGCTTGTCTTACCCTTTATAGAAGCACTTTAGGTTTTTTTAAACCTATTCAATGACCAAATTTCAAATAGCATGTAGGAACTTATTTTGAGAAGGCCATTTTTTTCCAAATATAATTTGATGTATGAGTTTGATTTAAATCAGCAGAGAAGCTGACAAGGTAAAAGAACAGCAGAAGTAAACTGAACAGTACAGTCCTGTAAATCTATGAAAAAACAAAAAAATAATTCCTACATTTGAATTTCCAAAGTGATCCAATACCATTTCAAAGGTAAGTACCTTCATTAGGAAAATAAATACAAAATCTGTTGCTTACAGAATGACAAAATATAAGCAGAACAAAAAGTCCTTGACTGCTGAAATAATACATGTGGTTTTGCAAATTCTTTTCTCCTAACAACCACAGAAGACAGAAGAAAACTGTTACTGTTCAGGCATACTACTACTAATGACAAATCTAGACAAGAGTAAGAAATACAGAAATTTGCCATCTTAAATAAGAATGCCACTGCCTACTTAGATCTCATTTTATGGTCCAAGTCTTGTAACTGAAATTCCAGTACAAAAGGCTGCTCTTATCCTTTTCATAGAGAATCATATTAAACATTATGGGCTTGCCATAAAGAAGACTACTAATACTTACGATTCTATTATTATATTGCATCTAATTACTAAAAAATGGGAAGTTGTGACCTAATTTTTTTTTGCTCTTCTGCACTCTGGGGGGATATATACTGGGGGAATAAGGAAGCAAGTACTACCTCATAGAAGTAGCTCCAAAAACCATTATTAATGGTAAGCCTTGATAAAATCAGGTCAGCTTTTCTTTGCATATGGGAAAGAGAGGTAATCCAAACCATGAAATCATGGACAATAGCAAATACCTTTTTTGGTATTACATGAGAGAGGAAAAAGTCAGCAAACTCAAATCACTTTTCCAAGTTGTTTACACAATAAATAACGAGGATGACAGTTACTCTTAGTTTTAAAGGTTAATCCCTAATCTGCTATATCACCTAATGTTAAAGAGATGGAAAATTATTTTTAAAAAAATGCCACTAAGCAAAAAGCAACAAAACTCAACTTACCTCTATGTGCATTACGAGCTGTGCTTTCTCCTTGTCCTTACGCTCTATACATCTCTTCAGTTCTTCTACCTCTGACATTACAGCATTATGACTCAACTTTGCTTTAAGTTCCAAAATATGTTTCTCTAGATCTTGCTTCTCTCTCTCATATCTTTCAGTCACTGTAAAAAAGCAACAACAGAGCAACAGACTCAATAAAAATTCCACCTTGTGGTAAATTAATTTTATCTCATTTAATTTTTGGCAATTTGCTTCTCTACTTGAGACTATTCTACAACTACTGATTTTGACCAAAATATCTGTGAAAAATGGAATGCCTCCATCATAACCTAATAACATTTTACTGAATTAAACAGTATTTGCAGTCATTTTATAGGGGTTTTCACTCTTCCCCCTGCACACAGCTGCTCCCCTCAAAAAAGAAACCAAAACAACAAACAACCAAAGCCCCAACAAAACTGAATAAAATAAAATAGGATAGAAGAAACAGTGGGGAAGTTCTGGTGTTAACAAAATTTTGCCATCAGCTTCAAGGCCAAGGTTTTATCTCACCAGAGTAATACCTCCCAATCTGAAAGTCACATTAACTGAGAATTTTATGTCTGAATCCTGCATCTACAACCAAAGGTTTTGACAAGAGTAAGGTATAAATTCTCTCAATCAGAAATTCAAAGGTCTTTAGTCATAAATAACTACTAGAGGCAAAAGAAAAAAAATCTCTATGTCTTCTTCCAATATATCTTTGAAGAAAGAGAAATAACACAGCAAGGTGAAACACAACAGCAAAAATTATATAAATGCATGCATGTATTTTTACAGTTACAGTACATTTTTATTTTCTTCATATTTTTACAACTACTTTGACAAGATCAATAGGAGAATTAAAATATTATTTTATTAACATGAAAGACATATAGCTTCTAATAAATTAACTTTTCAGCAAAAACATTAACATGATTGAAGAAAAACTATTGAAATTATTATTTTGCATTACATTTCTGAAGATAAGCCACATACAAAATCTAGCCTGTTTCCAGTGCTCTGTATGAGATTTATAAAACATAGAGTCAGAGTCCTATTTTAAAATCCAAGATAATTCAGAAGCTGAAGTACAAAAATACAAAAATATGTCATTAGCCAAACCAATTAAACATTCCAAAAGACACTAGAATAGAGTCACTATTTCTCTATTATCTTGAGTAATACATTTCTATGTTAATAAGGAGAAAGATAGACTTTCTCTAATGCCTTTTTGATTACATTTGAAAAGTTTAAATGGATAGATAACTAACAATTAATTGAAGACCTTGCTAAAGTAGTAATTTAATATGCAATTATATCTTGAAATTGTTTAAAGTATTTGTCTTCTAAACAAACTATTTCAACCCTAAAACTCTAACACAATGCAAACAGAAGCCCTGACTGCATCATACAGAAAATTTTATTAACCACTTAGGAACATATTGCTTGGAAATTCTACCAGAAAGTCATCAGCCTTATTAGCTACCTAGTCAATGACCTTTGGTATGATTTTCAAAATGGCAGAACTCAAACTGAAAATGGACTGAAATGCAAGCTTTCAGGAAAATTATTGGTTAAAAATAACACACATTTTTCTTCTGCAAAAACACTGTGCAATTTACTGAAATTGTTTCATTCATTTTAACCATGCAAATCAAAATATTTTATCATAAATTAACTGTCATTGCTAGTTGTCTGTTAATATTCAGGTGTCAGTGTATTAACTTAAATCCGAGGAATTATTTGGCTGGTTTTGTTGAAACAATAGAAGAATTAGACTGCAACTCTAAGATAAAATTAATGTTCCTGCCTACTAACTAGTTTGGAGGTCTCTAGTGAAAAATGTTAGTTGTACCTGCTCTAATTCTTCTGTCATCATCTTGTACATCCTGGTAGCTCTGGCGATGCATAGCAGCATATGAAATTTGATGTTGCAATTCTACACGGTCTTCTTCAGCTCTCAAAAGCTGGGAACGAAGATCCTCAATCTAAAAAATAGGCACAAGCAAATTAAAGGAAGTCTTTTTAATTTATGTTGACCACAGATGAGCATTAATTTCTCTAGAGCAAACTAAATTCTGCCATATTATATGTTGCAATTGTCTTTTTACATAGCTAGTGAAAATATCTATACAAATTTAATTAAAAAAAAAGTTTTATTTAAATTGTGCTCCTTAAATACAATGTATTTATTCACAAGAAACACGGAGACTCTTCACATTTTTCCCTTCTATCATATATAGCATAGCACTTACAAAGATGACAACATGAAGGAAAATAGAGAAAATCCAACATGCTAAAGTTGAATCAAAGAAAAATACTTCTAATTCAGATTACCCTATATTCCATTTGTAATGATTTAAATTCAAAACAGTAATATAGCTAAAACTTCTGCTAGATATACACACGTCAAACCATTAATGCTACAAGATGAGAATGTTAATTGCCTCCTACCTAGTTATTTCAGTCATTCTACAAAGCCCCTCTAAAAGGAAGATGTTTAGGAGAAAGGACTTTTTCTGAAGCTATAATCCAAATTCCTATAAATATTAAGTTTAATCATATATGCATCAATAGCTATTGTTTAAAGCACACTTTAGATACTTTTTCAGGTATTTGTTTATTTACTTTTATTGCATGTTACAATGTAGCAAATGCTTCTATGTCATTGATTTATCTGATTTCACCAATTATAGCACATGCTTTGCAGAACAATGATTACTGTCATAAAAATTGTTCTAAAGCATATTATGAAAGGAAATTTCACATGTGTTTATGTACTGAAAACATACCATTACTATCACTACTATAATTAACACACATCTGAACATATACACACGTAAAAGTTTGGAAAACAGAAAAAGTATGAGCTCAGTCCATATATTATACACAGTTAAATCTGTCTCTCTATACCTCATTTTTTCCTTCATAAAACAATGTTATCAGAGGACGAGATAGAAATATTAAGCAAAAAGACACAGACACAAGCTAATACAAGAACCTTAGGTTTTTTACCACACTAAAGCAGTTACCTGATGCAAAAGAGCTTCTCTACTGCCTTCAGATTCACTCAACTTTTTCCGGGACTGTTCTAATTCCTGCTCAAGCTTTCATTTCAGAGGATGATGAAGAAAAAAAAGCATGTAGGGATCATAATATAAAAGTGTATTTTAAGATATAATTTTGACGCATATTCATCTATATAAGCATCTATCTAAAATGCAGTATATTACACACAGTATTTTTATCTGTCCAAAATTTTAAGCAAACCTTCATTTCTACTAAATCCCTGCGATATTTATTTAAATTACATAAAGAGAATTTTATTTACAGTCTATAATTTTTGTACAATATTCTGTATCACATAAAGATACAAAGTCATTTATATTATCTAAAACAAAAATCACAAAAGGAAATTTTTACTGGGTTAAAAGCAAAAAAAATAGAAGATAAATTTTAACAAAGTTTCAAAAACATTGTCCCTGGACTTGAAACATACTTTCAAACTCAAAATTAAAAATTACTTAATATTTTAAGTCACTTTTGGTAAATAGTTTGTTCATAGAAGTGTTAAAGATGACATGTATTGGTAGAACTGTAATTGATAAAACCTGTGGGGTTTCTGTGTTGTGCAAGATGATGTATTTGAATTATTTTGGAAACAAGATGACTAAAAAATTGAAGTGCCTTAATTTCATAAAATTGGAAGTTTATCCTAAAACCATAATATTCAATATGTGCAATCAGAAATAGTCATCAAACTGATAAGCATTTAAAAAAAAATAAAAATTAATGAAAGCAAAAGCTACAAAATATTTTCTGACTTCTTCCATAAATAGTTCAAAGATCCACTTTGAAAGAAATACAGGTTTTCACAGCAGAAACTGTTATTGTTGAGATAGCAATCTCAAGGAGGATGTTGAGAGCCTGGCAAATGGGCAAAGTAAACAGGACCAACATTAAGAGAACGAAGAGAACAACATAACATAAAACACTACATAAGGGTTTAGCATAAAGTGGTACAACATTGAAAGATGCTAAACTTGGTGCAAGTGGAAAAAACCTACGAAAAGTGTAATACAGCCCTAGCATCCTGCTAGAATAGAAGCATGAAAAGAAAGAGTGAAATATGGCAACAGTTCAGTAAGAGTAATAAATAATAACTAGGGTGCAAAATAACCAGCATGAGCTAGTTGCAAGGATGAAGAAAAGCTGCTTTGAGCTGCTGCAAATAAGTAACAGCAGACTACATACAAATTCAGAAAACAGAGAAAGAAATCAAGGATAATGCCCAAGTTATAAATGTGTCTGCCTGGCAGGATGGAAGAGTGCTTAGAAGTAACATACTAAAACTGAAGACCTTTGAAGGAGAGACACAAGCTGTGCATAGCTATATTCACAATGCCTCTGATGCAGAAAAAAGTCCCACACCTTGTATTCTTAAAGAGTAAAGAAAGATTTCTCAAAAGGAAGCATATACTATAACTGATGACACTACACACTCATTTGAAATCAAAAAAAAGGAAGAAATTAAGTCTTACCTGATGCTTTTCATTTTCATATGTCACAAGTTTGTTTCTCATTAATTCTTCTGTTTCATCTGCTTTAGCATCTTGCTTCCTTAAAACCTTTAGATTAGAAAAATACATTGTAAACTTCATCACAAAATTCACAGAAACCATCATTCCAAGGCTGTTAAAATTGAAGAATCTGCTGATACATTTAAGAAAGAAGATCTAGACAAATGCTTTCTGACTGCATCTAATATTTCCACGTAGTGCCAATGTATATTGTTATGAAAAGATAAATATAAGTTCATGCATACATAAACACACCCATGCAGAGAACAGGGACAAACACAAAGTCTAAAGCAGCGCTGACATCCTTCCGATGTATAGAGCTCCAGACACTCAAGCTGACCCCAAACACCTTTAGATTAAGTTCTAAAAGGCTCAAGAGATCCCCTAGCTGTGTACTTCTCAGAGAAAAAGAATATATTCTCTAAAATAAAGTGTGCATGTTATGAAATACAGTGCACTGTAGTCAAGAAAACACTACCATAAGGGTAGTGTTATAAGTCAAAAGGAAAAAGAAAAGGTTATTTTTTCTGAATCTGGACAGATGCTTGGAGCCACAGAACTACAATTGAATCAACTGAAACTTTCCTGATCAAACATTACCAACATTGATGTGCCCTTCCTTGATAACAATAACAAAAAATAAAACAAAATCCATGAGGACATTTCCCCTTCCCTCTCAGACTCAGGTATCTAAAACCACATGTGTACACTTTTTAAACCATCTTATAAAAGTGCATTAAATATAAATTTTAAAATCTTGTCCCTCTGCAAACCAACACTATTTGCAAAACACAGCCAATCACTGGCAGAGGAAGTATTAGACATGACAAATATTAATGACATGTAGTATTTGCAACTTGACCAAAGTTTAGATATTTCAAGCCAAAGCAAAATCATTGGCTCGTTTTAAATAGAAAGAATAGCTGAAAGAGATCAGTAGCCATATACTGATAATTTCCCATAAATTCTATAACTGTTTATAAATCACAGATTTTATCTGTGCAACATGATCAAGTATCTTTCACACTAGTCACAAATCATTAATTAGGTACCTTAGCACAAATATTTTACTCTCATCCCATATCTTGAAGCATAAATATATTCCATAATTACTTGCTAAAACAACAACAAAAACACATAGCCTTTCCAGAAAGAAATGTCTTTTTCCCAGTCTGTTGTTCCCAAGCAGCATTTTCATTTTACATTTTAAAGGAATATCTCCTTTAGCAAATACCCCTGAAATTTGTCCCTATAAATTGTGCCATTTCATACAGTTTTTGAACATTTTTCTCTTCACTGTACACTGGAGAACAATTTCAGTGCATGAAAACAGAATACAAGACATTAATCAACTTCAGTGAAGCCAGGCATTCAGCCTTAGAAGTTCTGGCTTTAAAAGCAGCTTTCTGGAGAAAATAAATGGTTTTATATACTTACCTCACTCTTATAACCTCACCTCAGTAAACATAAGAATTTCAGTATAGTTTGGATTACTATTCTGCCTGAACAGCTCACATTAAAATTGGAGACCACGGAAGACATTAATCATAACTATGCCACTGAAAATATTATGCCACATAAAGAGTTATACTTTTAGTCATACTGATCCCTAATCAGATAATAGAAGACTGTAACACATTTAAGGTATTTTTCTAAGTATTCAGTAGAGATTTAAATCTGTCATTCCAGTCAACTATAAAACTCAACACTGCACACATTTTACTCAAAAAGGCTCTTGGGACAAATCCCAAAAAGCAATATGGACAAAAGTCTAAGATCATTTCTTCAGCTAATGTTGTTTTTGCATTACCCAAGTTGACTGGGTTTTTGTTTTGGTTTGCATTTTTTTCCTTTGTTTATTTTTAATGACCAGAAGCATCGGTTCAGAACAGCCTACTTGGAATATATGATTTCTATTAACTGCAATGGACCACTAGTTTTACTAGCAAAATTAGGAGCTTTGTTATAGACCGTCAGCTTAAGGCCAACTTTATTTTTGGCACTAAATTAATAATTAACATAGTACCAAACAGACATGTTTTCATATGCAGATTTGGCTAGAGATGTCAGAATCATAAAGAAAATATTATAGCTGGGCTGGATTCAGGAATACTATAAAATTTCCAAAGATTATTCCTGCTGAAAGCAAAAAATATTTCTGCATCAGTAGCACATCTTAATTCCCAGAAGAAACCATGGAAATAAATATGCCATTTCAACTTCACTGACTGATATTCAGGCTATTAAATAGGAATAATTTCAAACAAAAATGCATCCTTTACTATAATTGATACTATAAATATAACCTTCAGTTTTATTTTCTGCATATAGTAAAATAGCCAATAGACATTTCACTTGAAGGAAAAAAAGAGCTCAGATATATATACCCCAGAGTTAAAATACTGCAAAAAAGAAGTAATGTTACAATAAATGAAACATACTACATGTGCACTGCTTGGACTGTGAAATGTGCATTGTACCAGTAGGTGCCAGGTAAGCAGTTAATCAAAATGTCCTAAGGAAATGGAAACATCTGGTCATCCACAGCCAGACAAATGTCAACTGTTACTGAAAATTCAGAAACTGTACAGGTAAAAGTTAATTCTGTGTTTTGTCTCCTTCCTATACTCCTTTTTAAATAATTCTCTCTTGTTGTTTTGTGACACACTTGTTTTTTCTCCACTAAAAATCACTATTAAGCTTTCTCTTGGGAGGGGTAAAAGAAAAACAAAAACCAAACAAAACACGTAAAGATTCAACTGATTCTTTGATTTCATTTGTTGTCCCCAAAGAAGGGGTTGAGGAATCCAAATGTCAAAAATGGGAACTAGGAAAAGGATGTTAAGGACAACAGTTCAATCACATACTCCTCCTGGATGGTTCCCAAACAGCAGGCAGACACTACCCAGAAAAGCTGAAGCACCAAAGAATGGGAACAGGCCTACAGACAATGGGATTTTCCTACCAAGATCCTCCTCTGAAAGCATTAGTGTCCAGGTTGGTCTGGAAGAGAATGGCAAGGAGGTTGATGAGGGGACAGGTATATAGGAGACCACAAGGAGACAGAACTTCCATGTACAAAGGTCTTCACAGCATTGCTTTGGGAAGGACAAGCTACATGTTCCACTGCATGCCTAGGTGGTCAGGCTAGACAATTTTTTGATTAGACCAAGGAGAGCAATTCTATGGGTCTTTATAAAGAGCTCACCAGCATAAGACAGAATTAGAATACAAATGTAACTGGTATACCCCAACTGAGTATATCTCATCCAGGTACAAAGAGTATCTATGGAACCCCAAAACTTCAAAAACATAACTTACTGCTTCATAGATCAATTTTTCTTATACATGAAGAAAAGTATGTGGAATAACTCAAGTTCTCAATTCTTCCAATTTATGATAACCTTTCCAGTGCAAATCATAACTTTTACAGCAACTTCAGCCTGCTAACTTTTCTTAATGTTTGGGTTTTGGTCTCAGTTTGGTTTTGCTGTGTTGGTTTTGCTGTGTTGTTTTGTTTTTTTTTTAAATAAAACCAGATTTTTTGAAAGCTGTGTACAGACCTCAAACTGAAACTTGCTCTTTCAAAGTGAGACTGATCAGTGAGTTTTTCCTATTATCACAAACATACAAGCAGAACCACCCCATGCTATAGTTTAAAGTAAGGCAAAAATGTATCACATCCTAATCTGAATGAAAATACATTCCTAGCCTCCTACATTTGTGATTAGCATGGCTCTAAGTACGCTACCTAAACATACAGCCAGGCAGTTAAAAAGAGACTACCTAGCTATTTCAGTAACAGACATGTATGAGACTTGCTCACATTCCAAGCAAGAGTCATATTCAAAAAAGAAACCATTGGCCACAGGTGGCACAGCATGAGCCAAAGAGCAAGTATCAATGATGCACTAAAATATCCAGGTGGCTCAGAGCACAGATCAAATTCCTGTTTGTCTAAAACGATCAGTGATAAAGATATGCAAAAAACAATGTTCAGTAACATTTTGACCATCAGTTTACCCCATTCTCTGTACACCAGCTTCTTGCAGTTCACAGTATTTGTAGTGAGAGGCAAACAGAATCAAAGTATACAGCTGCATAAGGAGAAAGTTAAAAAATGCTTCCTAGCCTACCTAAGTTGGTAGCTTAAGACATTACTGTAGTCACTGCCTTACCACAGTCAGTGGATGCAAAAGATTCAATAAAGGTGATTCTGTTCACCTAAAGCATGCCAAGCATGACCACATGGACACATTTCACCAAAGCCAAGCACATAATTTTTGTAAAGTCATCCAGGACACCCAACACCCAGAAAAGAATGCAAAGAAAACATTTTTAAGATACTTGATTTTGTTTTAGAAAATAGATGTGTAAATGCAAACAAAAAGTAAGAGGTGGTAGTGTCTTAACAGTCAAAGAAAAAGAAGTACTGAGGAATCTCAAAACAGTTTTCATTTACACAACAAATGCAGTTGTTAAAGCAATTCATGTATACATGCCAATACCCCTGACAAGAAAAGAACATCTGTTCTTCTTTCTAATCAGCAACATGTTTATATCAGAAAAATGTTTATATAGAAAAATATTAAGATATATGATTTTCATGAATTTTTTTGCTAATTGCTATTTTTTTATTTGCAGTAATTGCTATTTAAATGTACTAATAAACACTAAGGTCAAAGATAAAATGTACAGAAAATGGTTGTTATACAACTACACACAGCACAGTCAGGCTAAAGATTCAAAATAAAAATGCAAATTTAAAACTTAAAGATACAAAATAGACCTAGATATCCTCTTGGCTCATAATCAGTCTATGATTATAGTCCTACTACAATACAAATAAGAAGTTTGCACATTATACAAAAAACTGAGAGAAAGAAAAGACAGACAAGAGAAAGGCCAAAATTAATGTATCGTCTTGTTCTGTTAGATCCTGAAAATATATAATTTAATAATTGCAATTTAGGAAGGTGATTCTCTTAAGATGGTAAAACACTGACAAGTAGTGGTCAGTTACAGGCACTGCACTTTACTGAAAAAAGAATAGCATTTAATCCTCAAAATCTTCACAAGATTTCTTAATTAGAGCAACTACTGATCACATGCAAAAGTCAAATTTGATTTGGTTTGAAATGCATAACAGGCATACTAATGAAAAAATTGTATCATTAAACAGCCACAAATGCTGTAGTATTTCTGTGTAAATCATTCAGGCCATATTAAATAACAGGATTTAAAAACTCAGTCCAAACACTATTCTCCTTTCCAGTAATGTTACTTGGGAAGCATCTTGAATAAATAAATGAAAACAGAAGTAAACTTCAATAGAACATTAAGTCTGTGCAAGGATTACCACAAGACTGAGGCCACTGTCAGAGTTAAGAGTCCATCTGACTCACAATTCAAATTACAATGGACAAGAAACAGAATAACAAAATAACAAGCTCAAAATTATGCAGAAACATGTTTCATCCAAATAACAATCGTTGCAAAATATTTATTTACTTTATTCTCACTAGGCTAAGCAAAAGTACACAAGGCAATTCAAGTACATTCTTTCTAAAATACAGCAACTTAAACTGTATTTTGGAAAGGGGCTCCTCAGGGAAAATAACTTTAAAAAAAATAAAATAGAATTTACACAAGAAAGGATTAAACCATTTTAATTCACATTTGGGTATCTTAGGGGAATAGAAGGTCTAGGATGTACTTAGTATTTCATATTCCTTTTACATGAAATTCAAAAGATGAACTACCAAGAATAAAGGTACCCAGCCTGAAGGCTCATGATCACATAGACTGTGATCATTCATATGATCTATGAAAGATTATATCAAAATTCTTTGAATTACATTTGAACTCATTCACTTGAACTCAAGTTTCCTAAGAAACTATGGCAGTGTCAGTGTATCTTTAGAGGTTACAAACTATCATCCCTTTAAAAGGATAAAATAAAATTGTTCCATTCTGTAGATAACAATATCAAATCACACCAATACATTGCATCCCTTCCCCAGCCTGAAGCCACAACTGAAGAATCTAGAAGTGGGCAGAGGCATACTAAAGAGCAACGAAAACTGAAATTCAGCACTCTAGTCCTTTTCACCCACTAGGGCACCAGCTGGGAGGAAAATGAAACAGTAAGTCTTTCTGATGTACTGGCAGAAGGATTCCAAACCTTTCCATAAATGTTACTTTTTATTTATATTAAAAAAAACCCAAAAAACTCATCATCTAAAATACAATGTCTTTGAATAGTCTCTAGCTTGACATGAAATACATAGCATCATGAGCAAGGTTCTTCAGTATCACTGCACAGTATAATGCCTTCCAAAAAGCTATGTTGCAAACACTAAAAGTGAAAAACAAGGAATTGCATATTTCTTCTCACTTGTAGCATTCTATTGCACAGATAGAGATAACATTGCATATTGTATCTTAGAGTGGAGTGAAATAAAGTCACACTGTTAAGACACAGATTTTCCAAACAGAAATAAAATAAAAAAATAAATATTTTTCATGTGTTTTCTAAAACAAGCAGAAAAAAAAGCTAACAGCTGTCTCAAATTTTAATTTCTATTCTAAACATTTGTATTTGTCTTCTAAACAATATTTTTTATTTCATCAGGTATTGTTGAATAAAACTGAAATGCAATGAAAAGTTGTCTGGCCACTACAGTGCTTTTGATTGGTTGTTGAAATAAATCAAGTGCTCATTTGTATGAGCAAGCAAAGTTTACCTTCTAGAAAATAAAACGTTTTCATTTTAAAAACCCAGCTAATGATTTCCCTTTGTTTGCTTGGGTTTTCAGGAAGGACATAGTGGGTAGGTTCTTAGAAGATTTGTGGCAGTTACCAAAAAGGTCTAAATACAATCAAGATAATATAATGAAGGACTGAGCCTGGGCTTGGTATTACCTGGTCATCAAAACAATGTGAGCTGGACTGAGAGTCCAGCCAAAGATATGAGCATTTTTGCCAGTTTGACAGGTACAGGCTCACAAATGCAACACATTCCTAACTAAATCCTAAATACCTGGGAAGCTTTCATTTGCATACCTCCTGTAATTGAAGAGACACGTGCCCCAGCTGGTCCTGGCGCCTTTCTACAAGCTGTCTTTCAGCACGCATTTCTTCTTCTATCTCCTGAAGTCTTCTCTCTACTCGTTCTGATACCTTCAAAAGAAAAAAACCCATACTGTAGGAAATTGGTGTGCCTTTTTAATACATGTGAAAATATCAATGACAAAAATGTAAACAGAGTATGGGGCAAAAAGAAAAGAGAACATAATTTGTATTTTGTTAAAGCAGATTTAGAATGGTCAAGTAAATAACTAGTTATAGCAGTGAGTACTCCAGAAGTACTCATGCAGGGAACCAAACTCTTATCTTGCTGGCAGTATTCTCCTTTACGTGTATGCATATTTTTCTCTACAGGGATGGTTCTACTCAAGCATTAAATATCTCATTATCAAGGTTAGAGCAGCCTAATGTGAAGCTGCAAAACAAAAGTCTTAGCTTCTCTGTCACAAGCCTGATTAACCTCTGGAAGGATATTTCTTTCACATCTCCAGCCTGCAAAACATACCAATGTTTGCCTCTCATGATCCAAAATCTGTGAGTAAAAAGTTGTAAACGAACCAAGTACATGAGAATGACTGTAACAACACAAAGTAATTACATCACTTTAAGCCTCTTCCCTAATATTTCCTATCTGAAAACTAATTATTTTAAGCAACCACTAGAAAGCAATATATCCATTACCAAATGTTATTTAGATAAAAAGAGAAAGATAAAGATAAAGATAAAAAAATAAAACACCATTTGACTATTAGCTTTTGATATATGTGGAGGTGAGCCAGTTCTCATCTTTCCCCATTAAGCACACTTCTATTAGCACTAGGCATATGCATGGATAGAAAATTTTACCATGAGCAACACAACTTATGTAGCAACAGAAACACTGTGTATGTTAATTAAGGCTTAATGAACAAAACACTCTTTCTTTACAACAGAATACATCTCTCAGAAAACACTTCTTGTTTGTGCAGCCAGATGAACAGCCAGCTTACAGTCTGGAATATTATATTTTTTCATAAAACCATCAGGAGATGCCTGGAACTACATCAAATCAAACACTTTCATGAAGTAAGTTACGAAAGCTCTGCAGCCATGATCCAGAATAATTACTTACTGAAAACTAATGTATAAAAGATAAAGGCCACATCACCGATGTTTGTTTTGACAAGTACTGCAAAGCGTTACTTCTCGGAACTCATAAAATACTCCATCTAGCAGAAACAATGATACTATGTAGTAGGAACAGAAAATAACACTGTCATTAAACTTGTTACATCTTTGCTGAAAGCCAGGAAATAAGCTGTCATCATTTTCCTCATACCTAAGAACTTAAAGAAATTACCTTAAAGAAATAACAACATAAAGAAATTAAGCTGTAATGTTTTAACATTTTTTAAAAAAGTTTTTACTATGTGTTTCTGAAGACAGAAGCTTTCTCAGCTCTCTCATGTACCTTTTTCAATGAAGCACTTTTTTAATAGTACTAAAG